TTGAATTCTAAGATTGACATGAAAGACATGGGTCTAGCAGATGTGACTTTGGGTGTTAAAATCATAAGGACAACAAATGGTCTAGTTTTGAGTCAATCTCATTACGTAGACAAAATTCTTGACAAGTTTAACAAGAATGATTCTGGAGTTGCGAAAACACCATTAGATAATAGTATCCATTATCCAAGAATCGTGTACAGGGTATATCTCAGGTGGAATAATCTTGGATAATAGGAAGTCTAATTTATATAATGAGTTGTACTAGACCAAATATTGCTTATGTGGTAAGCAAGTTGAGTTCATACACGAGTAATCCTAGTGCTGATCACTGGACGACTATAATTAGAGTACTGGGGTACCTAAGACATACTCGTAATTATGGATTGCATTGGATACACAGACACCAATTGGATATCTGATATAAAGGACTCATACTGCACAAGTGAATACGTGTTTACACTAGCTGGAGCAGCTGTGTCATGGAAATCCTCAAAACAAACTGTAATAGCCAGATCCACAATGGAATCCGAGTTCATTGCCTTGGATAAGTGTGGTAAGGAGGCTAAATGGCTACACCATTTTCTGGAAGATATTCCAAAGTGGGAATGTCCTGTGCCACCTATCAGTATTCATTGTGATAGCCAATCAGCGATTGGAAATGCACAGAGTACTATGTATAATGGTAAGTCGAAACATATTCATCGTAAGCACAATATCATTAGACAACTCCTCTCGACAGGAATTACCACAATTGACTACGTGAAGTCAAAAGATAATCTTGCGGATCCGCTAACCAAAGGGTTAAATAGAGAGGCAGTTGAAAGATTGACCAAAGGAAAGGGTGTGAAGCCTGTGAAAAGATAAAAGTCTTAAGAAGGAAAACCCAACCTAGTTGACTGGAGATCCCAAGATTTAGGTTCAATGGGACAACCTAATCATAAGACTTAGTGTGGTCACTGTGGGAGAAAACCTCAACTCATTCATGTTATCAAACAGTGATATAACGAAATAGGATAGCAAATGGTTGCTTTAATGATACTTAAGTGAGTAATATCATTTACTCTACACTTAAGGAGTCACCGATGTGAGAGAGAAGTGGGACCGCTTCAAAGGACGTGTTCATGGCCAAAATGGACAAAATCATGAGAACGGAACTAAATATAAATGGTTTCTGTGTACGGTATGTGGGTTTCTCTACACAATACAGCTGAAAAGTTCAAGGACATCGCATCTACTGGACAGCTAGTAGAGCAAACATATTTTACAAGGAGGAAATTCAAAGGGTAAAGCTACTTTCTCTCTATGCAGGAATCAGTTAGTTAACACCATTATCATCGTTTTATTCGAAACAATATCTCATTCATGTGGAGGATTGTTGGAAATTGAGTTCAAGTTGAATGAGAATTTGGTTTCTCAAAGATTGGAAACGAATGTCGAACCGAACTTTCGGGGGCCTGATCAACCTACGGTTTGCTCGGTTCACATTGATTTTTCCAATAAATTTATTGGAGAGTTTTTTAGCCTGAGTTCAATGTCAGGTTGAATGAATTTAATGTCATTTAGCATGGTTAAATGTTTGCTAAGAATGCTAAAAATTTCTGACGGTTTCATAAATAAGTGTGTAGTGTTAATTGTCTTAATAACCTATTCAAATGGCCTATCAACCTACTGCTTTGATTGTCAATTAGTGGGCAGCTTTAAATGTGCTGTAATGACTTTTGACAGTTACTTTTCAGCTAAAGCAAAAGGTTGATTCCAGTTTATTAATCGAAGTCATTTTTCCATAATTAAAAAGACTTTTTTCCCTCATCTCTTCCATTTTCGATAAGAGCCTTCCTTCCTTCCTATTGTGGTATTCATCAGTTTGTTCTAAGTTCCCGTTCACTGGTAGAGTTACTTTGTGCTAAGTAATCTCTATGTTTTCGTTGTATTCTGGAAACAGATGCTCACGAATCCTCTAGCACCTCAGGAGGGGGCAAATCTATTTTAAGGAAATCGTGTTTTCACGAGTCTCGTATTTTCGTTTATCCAAATTCATCTATAGCCTTTACGAATACTTTACATATTTATCTAACAAAATTAAATTCGATGAAAACACATTTCTTTTTATGATTACTTGTTCAATTCAACTTCGTGGTTAGCAAGTTAAAATGTAAAAAATTCTTTCAATGATACAAATACCAATATTTCGAGGCATATATATTTGGGAAAATTTGTTTAAGGGGCCGTGAAAATTGTTAAATTAATAAAAGGGGTAAGACTTCAAAATAATTTTTATTAAGGGTAGTAATTTATTTGACAAAACCCATAAAATCAAATCAATGGTGTGCTGACATAATTACCCTCTTCATCCCCAAAACAAAATCAAATCCTTCCAAAAATTAATTCTTCACAGAAATAAAAAGATACTACTTGACGATGTAAATACCAGCTTCTCTTTTTTGGTAGCTTCTGTTAGCTGGAATCTACTCGCATTTCAGAATGCTCGGAGTCGTTGCAAAACTGATAACCTCTTTCCTCGTGGAATTTGTGGTTTTTTTCCCCTTAATCTCCTATAACCTCTGGTTTTCATGCCATTTTTTACGGAGCAATCTTGCAGTGAATAATTGTATTGGCATATACTTAAACACACAATTCAATTTCAAAGTGCTCAATTTTTTTTAAATAAAAAAAAAGTCTGGATCAAACCAAGCAAATGGTGGTCAATCATGGATTCAGTTTCATCGAAAGAAAATTTTCAGAAAATGGCTGTTTCTAAAACTGTTTCAGACCGCTTTTTTTCTTCCTTCTGTTTTTGGATGAATAGAATTAAAACACACACAAAAAGAATTGCATTTACAATAGAAAAAAAAAGATGAAAATTTACCTTTGGTTTTAAGTGCTTCAAAGGTTGATGCAATAGAAGTATATCTCCAGGGAGAACAATGTGTTTTTGAATTTTGGACTTGAAAATTGTCAAAGAGGAACAAACAAAAACAACATAGGAATTATAGGATTTATTAGTTTATTTGATATGTTGAAACGATCCTGTCCAGGAGGTGGAGAATTTAAGTTTTTGTTAGTAATATAGGAGTAAATATTGAGGGTAACAGTGTCAATACATAACTAATTTGATTTTATAACTTTTGTCAAATAAATTACTGCCCTTATTAAAAATTATTTCAAAGTCATACACCTTTTATTAATTAAACCATTTTCATTGCCCCTCTAACAAATTTTCCCATATATGATGGTATGTTTGGACTAAAACATGTGTATTCATTATTTTTTATTTTTGATACATGGACATTTTGGATGAAATCAGTAAAATGTTTTCAACAACCAAAAAACTATAATAAGACAAATCAATCTTTATCTTTTTTTACCAAATCTAATAGTATTACATTTCCTACTAACTTAGAATGAAGTTTCTTTTTTAAAAACAAAAAAGCAAAGAAAAGGGGGATTTGGAACTATTTTCAGGTCCCAACTAACTTATAAAATACTTAAGGGGTCTACCCAAGAGCTATTTTATAAATTAGTCAGTGGTAGATGGTACTATACACCCAATAGGTATACCCAAGCGATGGACACACATATAGTTCCCTAGTTTCGCCCCTTCCCAAAATTTAATTAATTCAAATATAGAGAAGTGGTAGCATATAGACTAGCCACAATTACATTAGGAGCTCCTACTTCGAATATAAGGTAAGGGTTCTTGATCTAAAAGCAATAATCCTTTTACATGGCTAGGTAGGCTATCTATAGAAGCATAAATTTGGGACGTACCAGAAACGGCTTCTTTAGCTAGCCAATCTGCTACAGAGTTGAGTTCTCTAAATACATGTCTAATTCGGCATCCATTCCTTTGAATTATAGAAGACATTTCTTGTAAATACAAAAAATATCTCCCAGGAAAGCCAGAACCCTTTGCTAGAGTCAAAGCCAAGACTTGGTTATCTGTTTGAATCTCCACATCAACAAGGTTGCGCGCATCGTCTGAGGCCAAAAAGAATGCCAGAGATTTCCGCTTTGAAACTATCACCTCCTCCAAGATATCCACCTTCACCATAGATAAAAGGATCCACCTACCCCTCTTAGCAGAAACCCATATCATGCTTCTCCAAGGCTTGAAGAACCATCTGCACTAAGAATATAAGAGTTAAGGGTCGGAGGCTGCCACTTAACTTGAAAGACACGAGGCCGGCCAACACGCCTAAGGGTGGCATGAAAAACATTTCGGATAAAGGAATCCTCCGCTTCACTCCGAACTCGAAGATCATGTATGACCATCAATCCACGCATATGATCCATAACGGCATGAATGGTGGAGGCAATGATTAGTTGGACATCTTCAAAAAAGACCTTATTTCTTATTTTCCACAACTCCCAAATGATAATGGAAGGTAAAACCTTGTACAATGCACTATAAGCTGATTTAAGATCACCTTTGCACCACCATCTTTCAAGTAAAGAAAAAATTGTAGTTGCACCTTGGATATTAACTAGGGGTGTTAATACGGGCGGTTCGGGACTTATTCGGTTTGGGTTACTCGGTTTTTCATCCTTAAGAAACCCGCCCAAGAATCGAACCGAAAATGTGCAAAAATGCACCGAACCGCCCGCTTATAAGATCGGTTTTTTCGGTTCGATTTGTATTTATCCGATTTTTTTTTTGACACTGAAAATACACAATCTTTTTCTGAAAAAAATTCCCTACGAATCCAGTGTGTAATCTACAAAAATTTATCCTCTATTCTAAATAGCCAAAAATCGGCACTTATAAGGTATGAATCTTTTATAAAAATTCACCAAACAAGAATCTCAAAAATCAAAGCTCTATATTTAAAAAGCCAACACTCAGAATTTAAATAAAAGCATCTAAATCCAACAAATATAGAAACGATGATTCAAATCTAGAGAAATTGAATCTTCAATCTTGGGTGCTACTTTCAATTGTTCTTCGATTCCATGTGTTAGCTATGAACAGAGTAATGGTGGCCAAGAAATAAAAAGGAGAGATGAGGTTGGTGAAGGATCTGATGGGCGGGGAGATGGTGAAAAAAGAAGAAAAGGGCGGCGGCAGCGGCAGCAGTAGAAGAGGAGGGAGAGAAGAAGAGGGCGGCGGCGACTGCAGTAGAAGAGGAGGGAGAGTAGAAGAGGGCGGCGGCTGTGGTTGGAGAGGAAGAGGAGAGAGAGAAGCAGAGGGCGGCAGCGGCGGCTGCAGTAGAAGAGGAAGGAGAGAAGAAGCGGGCGGGGCAGCGGAGGCGGCGGCTGCAGTAGAAGGGGAGGGAGAGAAGAAGAGGGCGGCGGCTGTGGTTAGAGAGGAGTCCGACAAATGAATTAGAAATGATAACAAGGGTAAGAAATGAAAACCCTATTGGACTAATATGTGAGAATAGGTAAAGAATTCTTAGACCAGCCCACTAAAAAATTTCTACTATGGACTTTATTTGGGTTTCGGGCGGGGCTCAAATTTTTTTCCCACAAACCGCAACCCGCACCGTTAGAGATAGCAATTATTCGGGTTTACCCGCAAACCGAACCGACACAAAAAAACCCGCACCGTTTCAACCGAAACCAATGCGGGTCAGGCGGTTTTTCGGGTCAGACCGAATAACTAACACCCCTAATATTAACCATCATCAAAGAAGAAAAATGCCACCAAATGCTCTTTGCAAAATCACATCCATAGAAACGGTGATGTAGTTCATCATCATGGTTCCTACAAAACAAACACAAAGCAGGATAACAATAGATTCCCATGCGCACTAAGACTTAAGAAAAAGGAAGAAGCTTATTGTGCATTTTTCCACAAGAAAATAGAAACATGCAAAGGTGTTATAATATTCCAAACATTCCTTGTACAATTCTCCTCCACTCTCCGCCTCCTCAAAACTTCATAAGCAGACTTAACTGTGAGGTCTCCTTGAGGAGTAGGCTGCCAAACAAAAAGATCCTCCATATTCTCCACTTTAGAAATCTTTCGCCAAGAGGTCTTGTTCTTAGAGGTATTAGACAAAGAATGGATGAAACTACTCCATATTCCAGTATTATTCTTCAATTTCCACCATAACTTCACAGTTAAAGCATCTATGAAGTCATTGAAATTCCGAATACCCAACCCATTTTCATTAACCGGAAAAGTAATATTACTCCATGATCTCCAATGCCTCCTAGACTCTTCATTCATGCCACTCCGAAGGAAGTTTTGACACCTTTTCTCCATCTCAAGAATAACCGATTTTGGAGGAGGAAGGGTGGAAAACACATGGACCGGAATAGATGACAAAACATGTTTAATCGAAACAAACCGACCACTTTGATTAAGAAGCTTGTTTCTCCAACTGAGTAGTCTCCGATCCAAAGTATCCAGTAGAAATTGGAAGGTGGAAGCTTTCCTTCTACCTAGATATAACTTGCAGCCGAGGTATGTGAAGGGAAACGTCCCTCTTTTAATGCCAAGAGTCCTTTCTATTATAGCCACTCTTCTTGCATTGCAATTCTCTTCAACCATGAAAGAACTCTTTGGTCGACTCACTTTTTGACTAGTAGCTATCTCATAATCTGAGAGAAACCCATTCAGCTCCTTCAATGATCTCTTTAGCCCCTTTGTGAAGAAAATCACATCATCCGCAAAAAGCGAGGAGAGAAACCGGCATGGAACCAACCGGAGTGCAATAGGCAGCCACTCTACCATCCGCCACCAGGAATTTGAAACTCTGTGTCATTGCTTCAGAGAAAAGTATGAGGAGATAAGGGGACAACGGGTCTCCTTGCTTAATACCTCGAGAAGATTTAAAGAATCCAACCGGACTCCCATTTATCATAACCGAGAACCAAGCATTTTTCAAGTTGTTCATCACCAAAGCAACAAAAGGAATAGGAAAACCAAACTTTAACATTATTCTTTCCAAGAAGCTCCACCTTACCCTGTCGAAAGTTTTCATCATATCAAGTTTTAGCGCAAGATTCCCTCCTTCTGCCTTATGCCCCAGAAACTAGCAAAGATCATGTGCTAACAATACGATATCCATTATATCCCTCCCAAGAAAAAAAGTAGATTGCTCTTCCGATTTAAGTCTTGGCAGCACCTTTTTTAGTCTCTTCGTCAAAATCTCATTGAAGACTTTGATCAAGAAATTACATAGGCTAATAGGCCTATAATCAGCAAAAGTGGAAACCACAACCTTCTTTGGAATGAGGGTAATCAAAGTACTTCAAACCGACCTTGGAATAGATACACCAAGCATGAATTCTTGGCAAGCTTGCCACAAATCATTCCTGATAATTCCCCAACAGCCTTTATAGAAAATTCCCCCAAAACCATCAAAACCCAGAGCGCTATCTTCACTTAGATTAAATACGGCCTCTTTCACTTCCGCGAGCAAAATAGGCCTTAATAATTCATTCCTATCATCATCATCTAGCAACCTCGGAATATGATTGAGAAAAACATCTTGCTTTTCTTCACAAGCCGAATCAACTTCAATATCATTCAAAAGAGCCGAGAAGAAAGTCACAGATTCTTGCTCAATATTGGCCATAGTAGTCAACATTCCTCAATTGTCATATTGGATTTTGAAGATCCCTTGCCTCAACCTCCTTTCTTTCAGGGAAGCATGAAAGAAAGAAGTGTTAGAGTCCCCTTCCTTCATCCATTTAAGCCTCATTTTTTGAGTCCAAAAGTCATCAGGTTCCTTAATTCTCATAAGCAATTCAGCCTTGGCAACATTCAACTGCACCCTATCATGACTTGCACCCGAAATATCAAAAATGCCTTCTAGCTCTTGCACCTTCTTTTCAGCCTCTTTTAAATTAACAAAGACATCACCAAATGTCTCCTTGTTCCACTTCTTTAATTTAGCCTTCAACCTACGCAGCTTGAGTGAGAACTCTAACATTCCAAAGGCCTCCACTAGCGATTCCCAATTCTGTTTCACAATAGTAAGAATGAAGTTTCTTTTTTTTTTTTAATGAACAGGGAGGTCAGGGCTATTTTCAGGTCCCAACTGCCCCAAAAAAACTCAATGGGTCTACCCAAGAGGTAATTTTTTGGGGACAGGCAGTGCTAGATTATACAATGCACCCAAGGGGTCTACCCAAGGTATGGACATGAAGTTTCTTTTTTTAATTATTTGTCTTTTGAAAATAACTCCATAATTACTACTCAATTGCAGGACTCAACAATATATTTATAAAAAAGAAAAGAGAACATATCTATAACTCCTATCCCGTAAACTAGTCATGATATTCTCCATTTCCCCTGGCTACTGCCATCTTCATTAGCATGGAGTCTTCCAATTATTATCAAGACTTCCCATGTTATTATGAATTGCTCTCCTCTCCAGCGGTTGCAGCCCTTGCTGCTATTATTCATCCTTGATCAATAGCATTGTTTATTAGAAAATTATAATGCTTCCTATCTGGTTCTAAATTTTTTTTTTTTAAAAAAAAAGAACTTGGCTTGCATACAATTAATGACAAAGGAAAAATTTAAAATTTGTTGGAAAAGTGTTGCCCTATAAAACAATAGCAATCAATACGTATAACATAATCATGAACATATAAAAGATGAGTCAAACAATTTTTTTCATCTATTAGCAAAACTCCTTTGTGTATCATCCGATTATGGCAGCTTGAGAAATTACATTGCCGACCTGAATATTTGATTTGTTTGACCATGGTGTATTAGTGCTAGTTATTGGGGTAGTACTGGGGATAAGATCAGTCTTAGATTTTTGGTTACATTAAGTAATTATTCACATATAATCATATCACATTCTTTTATGTGATATATCGATTTTAATTAAGATTATGTTCATCATGATAAGAGACTGTTAAAAGTTGATTAATTTTGACATAATATTTCAAATTCGAATTCCATAATATTAATAGGATTAGAATAAATAAATACCATTGTTTCAATAAATAGATTAATTAAGTGATAGAAATTGACCGTGAAAATAAATTGATTGTAACAAAAACTATAAAACATATCAAGTGAGGAATTGGCTCAAATCGGGATTAGTCTGAGCAATTACTTCGGACAGCGGGTGCATAATATATGAAAAAAAAAGAAAAGAAATTGATTGTGAAAAAATCTATAAAGTGAAGAATCTGAACGAAACACTTAGCAAATGTCGAAAAGCATAATCTTAGCTTTTGCTGCTTTTTTCTAATGAAAATTACAAACTCCTATTTATTTTTAATACATAAACCCCTATACTACAAAAGAAGTGCCAACGAGTTCTTTCAATAGAGTGATTGTGATATCTTCCAAAAAATTTATTTACGGAATCTGACTCTAACACATTTTATCTATGAATTCACATACTATTAAATCTAAAAATGCATTCTTTAGATAAAGAAAAATCACACAGAAAAAAATGTAAGAAATAGTAAGTACTACCAAAAAAATGTAATACCAGCAATTTTACTTTCATGTCTCCAATCCCAACAATTATAAAAAAAAATAAAAAAAGGCAAGTAGTAAAAATTCTTGTTTCTAACAACAATCCGTACAAAATGATAAAGGAGAACCCAAAAAGAAGAAAAGTGAGCAAAAAAAAAAAATGAAAATCACCCAATAGAGAAGGTTTCAACTTATTCGCAGATGGCAGATTTCGATGTCGAGAAAGACAATGATAGGTAGAGAGGCAAGAGAAAGGATAGAAATTGAACAGAAATATTGAGAGAAAAAAAAAAGACTTGAGATTATTGGAATTTATGAAATTTTGAGATCATCCAATTAAACAAAAAATAAAATCCGATATCGCACTACATATATTCACAAAGAAAATAATGCATATAATGCATTTCTTTTCACTCGAAACAATTTGCTTTCTATATAGTCCAACATAGCTCCATGTATGTCATAAGATAAAACGAAAAACAAGAAATCATATATCAATTTAATCCATAATCAAGCATAATTGATACCGAAAAAATAAAATAAAATAAAATAAAAAGCATGTACTCTACTTACATATCTTCAAGAGGTACTTCAACTTTTTTTTTTTTTTTTGGAAATAAGGTATTTCAACAATGTTATAACTAAGTGGCCATTGACATTACCACTTCTGACATCCTGTCCAAATAAATAAATAATGAATAAACAATAATAATAAAAACCTAAAATCAGATCATTACAAGAATTGTGAAAATTTCCAAACTGGAACACTAAAAAATGACTGGATAGTTCCATTTTATTCACCGATGGGAATATAAGGTATAAAACTTCTCCCATCAACATCCAATTTATGTTTTTACATAAATAAAAGGTTGTGTGGATCATTTAACTAACAATCACGCTACTAATCACATAGAAATGCGATTGACA